TGGTGTACAAATGATTCTTATGAACAAGATCCTTTTTTTACCGAATCAATAACATACAGCACCACAACGGTAGTTTGATTCCCAAACTAATGACTGTGGATTGCTCATGCTATGGCTCATTTCCACAAACCGGTACAGTACAGTACAATTCAGGACGGTAAACCCTGATCTTACTTGATAGGCGTGGTGTACCGATCGATGTCATTCTTGCTCGATGAAGAAAGTGACACAGGAAACAACAATGGAGGAAATCTTGTTCTTTCTTCTCGGCATGTGGCTGTTTGTCACAAGAAGAAACGGTATTGTGTTTCAACTGTATTTAAAAAATGGCACCTCTTGTGTTGTCATTCCCCTTGTAGCACGCGCAAGTAACGATTCTCAGTCAACCAATCAATGTTCTGCATTGAGTCTAGCTCCACCCTTAGTACCGGACTACTGTGCTAGGTACCCCAACGGAAGAGTCCCAAAAAAGTGGTACGGTACAGTTCGGAATTAGGGTACCATTCACAACTTCTGACAGTGAAAACGAAAAAAATTGCGTACCATACTAAACTATCCTGTATCGTGCTGCTCTGTGGAAACGAGGCATTAGAGCGTAACCGGTGTAGTCCGATTCCTTAAGGAATGACTCTTAGGAAGCAATTATTTTTGGCGAATTAAAAACATACACCATGTATGTAGTCTGATTCCTGAATGAATGACTCTTATGAGGCAATTCAGTGCGACCGGTGTAGTTAAACTCCCCAATGAATTACTCTTATGAAGTTAATCAAAAAACATACAGCGCTACCCGTTTAGTCTGATTCCTGAACGAATGACTCTTATGAATCAAATGTGCAGTACTGTGTGGCCAGTGCATTTTGATTCCCAACCAAGGACTCTTAGGAATCGGCTCTTTTTAGCGAATCAAAAACATACAGCCCTAACTTCTGAAGCGATCTGTTTTTAGAAAGGTTTACTAATGTGTTGTAGAGATTATGCAAATGCAACTGGAAATTTGAGATCTTTGCAAGTTATTAGCTGAAAGACTCATCAGTCATTCATTAAAGGTTAGCTGGAGGTGTTGTTAGGAGCGGTAATGCAACTCTGTGCATTTCTTGTGAACATATACACGAGTTGAGCCTTCCAAAAAGAATAAATTACAGGGCCATTTGGCAAGAAAGAAAATTACCCTGGCTGTTCAGCTGAACGTATTTTTCCCTCTAATGACTGTGACATTTTGCCATCTCATCCCAAATGTCAGGAATCAGCAGACCTCTTGAGTGCTTTCAATAGATCTCAAACGAGAATCTACTCTCTGGCCAGGAACGCAGCGAGGGCGTTTGTCTGGAAGATCAGGCGTGGATCGGCCCGCAATCAATTAAAGTGCGCTAAAAGAGAAACTGAGAAAGAAAGATGGAGAGAAGATGGGGGAGAATAGATGGAAATTGCTTTTTCAGAAAAGCATTACCGCATTCATATAAAAGGCTATTTGCATCCTGTGGTGTGAGATACTGTCAAAGCAATATATATATATACAAGCATATAACTACAAGATGTGCATCTCTTATATGAGTCTCCATCTATTCCAAATAAAAAAAGTGTGTGTGTTTATGTATGTGTGTGTGCATATAAACGCATACACTTGCAGTGGAATGTTTTTGTTGCATTATATAATAAACATAATATAAAATGTGTGTATATTAGAATTTTATAATATTAGGGTTTTATTTTTATATGATTATTTTTATTAATTTATAATGATTAACTATATATATTTATATATAAAATAATGTAAAAAAATATAAAATATAGATTAATATTAACAATATCTATTTTATTTACACGTTTTAATATATAATTAAATTTTTACACAATTTACATTATGTATACACAGTGAGTATGTATATAGATATAATTATTTAAATCAAATAAGATATTTTCAATATTTTCATATTCATTATCATATTTATAAAAGGTCTGTGTGAGTCTTTGATCTTTGATACATATAAACAATAAACATAAATATATATTAACATGATTTCTGGATAAAAATCTCAATTTAGTTATACTATGAAGTATATAGTTAACTATTTTGTGGTTATTATAAAAAAAAAAAAAATGTGTAGGTATTCCTTTGTTTTTTTTGTCCCTCAAACTAAAGTGTCTGTCCTTTAGGTTTAGATTTACCGAAACTTTCTGTAGTTGTTTCATATCGAGGCGGTAAAGAATATTAATGCGTCCTTTAAACAAAAGAACTCTCAGCTCTGCAGGGGAATAAATCTAAAGTCGCCTCACAGCTTTATCACGCTTTTGAAGCGTTACTCCCCAGTTCCGGAAGTTTCCACCTCCCTGCTCCCTCGTCTCCCTTACACATGTACAGTGTCTCTCCATCAAGCAATGAAAAGGAAGTCATTGACTTTATTTACCCAACAGGGAGTCGGGGTACGTGCGGCCGTTCTCATGATTGTATACATCTTAAGTTATCGTCTCACTGAGATTCTTCCCCGGCTCTAGTTGTGCTTTTCTTTCCTCTCTTCCCTTCTTCGGCAGCAAGCATGGAAGAGAGAGGGATTACCACTCCATTCTGCTGGACCCCAGGGGTCCCGTCTCATTCCAAACATTGCTGTGTGTGTGTGTGTGTGTGGCAGGAAACGGGGTTGGTCGGGTCCAATGAAGGTTTCAGTCACTCATCCATGGAGGGCTGCACAGAGAAGAGTACAAATTCCCGACCTTGCATTTTTGTCTTACCTTATCCATTCTTTCTTTATGACTGTATACACTGTTGTAATTCTGCCACACCTGGGCATTGTTTTAAAACGCATTTAACTTCACATTATTTTAATTTCCTCTTCTAAGAGAGGCCAGATCACTCTCTATAGTGTGTGAGTGTGTGTGCTGGGAGGATCATGTCTCGCACACAATTGGATTTAGAAATACGGCTGTCATGGAGAAGAGTGTCTAATCTCTCACACTATGTATATGTGTGTGTCTGTGTGATTGTTGGCTGTGTGGTTTCATTTAAGCTGTTTTGCTTGAATATGCTTGGCATTTGTTTTCACATTATATTATATATATATATATATATATATACACACACACAATATTTCTATTAAGAAGCACAACTGTTTTCAACATTGATAATAATAAGAACAGTTTCTTGAGTACCACATCAGCATATTAGAATGATTTCTGAAGGATCATGTGACACTGAAGACTGGAGTAATGATGCTGAAAATTCCACTTTGCCATCACAGGAATAAATTACATTTTACAATATATTCAAATAGAAAACAAATCATTTTTTTCATCAAATAAACGTCTTTTGAAAACATTTAAAAATCTTGCCATCCCAAAAACTATTGAAAAGTATTGTATATTCAGGTATTATATATGCCTGTTATATAATATATCAAAACATATTAATACATTTCATAACCATATTTTAAGGCCTATTTTTGGAATATTTCATCAATTAAAAAACTAATTAAAGGTATCTCTTAATTTCTCTGTTGATTGGCACTTAGAAGACAAATTCAATGAAGAAAAATTTAAACACAAACAAAAATATATCATTATTTATAAAATAAAATGAAGGCCAAATTAAATGTAAAAAACAAAACAAACAAAAAACATTGACAATTCCATGATATATGTGACGATCGGCTGCTGTAGTGGCCTTGAGAGCCACTGGAGGGCACTCTCTCATTGTGTTATGTTTTCCCCATGGACTCGTTATGTTTTATTATGTTCAGCTGTGTTTCATTATTGGTTATTGAGTTCCTGACTTTGTCCTTTGCGAAGTCTTGTTACACTGTAAGCGTGCATTTCTGAGCGTTATTCCCTGTTCTGTTTCTCCGTGTTCCCCTGGACTCTCGACCTTTGCCTGTATCCTGGACTGTTTGCGAACCTGTGCTGCCTGCCTCGACCTACGCCTGTTTACACCACGAGTTATTGGATTGCCCTTGTTTATTTGTGTGCCTGGCTTATTTCTGTTTATGTTCAAGTTATAATAAATTTCTGCACATGGATCCGACCGCCTCTGTCCGTACGTTACAATATATAACCTCATACCTGCCAGCCCATATGTGGCTCTAGAAAGATTTCTAGTCGTGTTTTGAACTCAAAATATCACCATATAGAAACTAGAGATGTCCTTATAACTTCTAATGAAACTCTATGGTGTCATTATAAGATACAATGAACATTTTAAGCAGGACCAGAGGGCAGGACTAATGTTATTAGTGTTGCTTGTGAAACATTAAATTAAAAGAACACAAATCTTTCGGGTAAAATGTGACTGCAAAATTGCAGATACATGTTTCAAACTCTGTATGAAGGTCATAAAGATTATATTTTTGGCCTGTTTCAATATATTTGTACACATTTAAACTCTTCTAAAGAATTCAATCTTTTAATAACTTTGATTATGGGATATCAAACTAAAGAGGAACTATTATACCCTTTTAAAAAGTCTTGACATTGGTTTTGAGGTCTACTAGATCTTTTTATGTCCAAAAAATAAAACATTATTTTTTTTACATATTTGACATTGTTGCAGCTCCTCTCTTCCCAGTCTGTCAGTAACGCTATGTTTATTTCCTGTCTCTATGAAGCCCCTCCTTCCAAAATGGGCAGTGTGCTCTCTGATTGGTCGGCTGGACCAGTGTGTTGTGATTGGTCAACCGCTTCGAGAGTGTTTCAGAAATGTCACACCCCTTAGCATAACCGCGAGTTTCAACCAACTAACTCAACTCAACCAGGCCTTGCCCCTTTATTTTTTTTTGCGTATTTTTTGAACAGGAATTATTTAAATGAGGAATATTGTGACATGTTCGTTCCCAAAAGAAAACTCAAGAAACAGTGTTTGCTGATATAGAGAATAACTGCCTTTGGAGTGACTTTGTGTTTTGTAACTTTGCAGACCTTTTTCATGCTCAAACAGCAACATTAAACCCTGAAGATTAAAAATGTAAAAAAAAAAAAAAAAAACATAATAGGATGTCTTTAATATAATGTTTCTTCATTTGTCTCGCTCTCTCTCTCCCAGGCTCTTCTGAAAATAGATTGTCAGGGTTTAGTGGCCCGGCTCATCATGGACTTTGTGTTGCTGACGACGGCAGTGGAAGTGGCTCCTCGCTGGAGGGAACTTGCTGAAAAACTCGCCCATGTATCCAAACAACAAATGGAGGCCTATGAGGCTCCGCACAGAGACAAAACCGGGATGGTGGATAGTGAAGTAAGGACACTAAACCTACTTTTCAATATGGAAGAGTACAGTTTACATTTGTGAGTTCACAAGATATAGCCATTTACATTTATCTCATAATTTCAGGCCATGTGGAAACCAGCCTACGACTTCCTGTTGACATGGGCCGCTCAGATTGGCGACAGTTACCGCGATGTCATCCACGAACTGCACATGGGGCTGGACCGGATGAAGAATCCCATCACCAAACGCTGGAAACACCTCACCGGCACCCTTATCCTAGTCAATTGCCTCGAATTGCTTCGAAGCTCCGCCTTTAGCCCCGCCCCTCAGGATGACTTTGCCATTTAGCTCCACCTCCTCACAATCCTCGCAAAGCAACACCTCAGAGTTTCGACATCACCTCGGAAGACTGCTAAACTTTTAACGGATATACACTTTTCTATTTCACCGTCAGCTGTGAGTTTACCTCAATCCAATAACCGCGAGGACGTCCTGTACCCGCCCACGTCCATATAAGGGCATGCGGAAAGCCAATGAAGCCAAAACACTGAGTGTTTTAAGTGTAGCAATTGTTTTTAGAGTTCTGAAGCTGTTTTTATCAGTTTTGTTCTTTGCGATATCTATATTTTTTATATTGGATGGCACAAAGGAAATTTATACAATCACGTTTTTCAAGAACGATTTTTTCTGAAAAAAAAAAGCAGATTTCATCTTGGTTCGTTACTAAAAACGAAGGTCTATTTTGTGACGTCACGTTTACCCACGTTTGTCTTGGTCTAGCCGTTCTGTAATTTGTTGCCAAATGCTCGAGCTTTCCACATTTGTGATTTTTTTTTTTTTATTCCACAATCTTTATTTGTTGTGTCAGATTTGATCGGTTGCTCTGTACGAGGAAGAAGACGGATTAGTATTACTACTAGACACATGAAACACCACAAACTGGTTACGTGAGAGGAAGAAGCGTATGGTGTGTTAATGAGATGGTAAGTTCAGACTGTGGGGAAAAAAGGAAAGGTTCAGACTGGATCATGTGTTTCATCCTTTCAAGCTTTTGCAAAGTTTGCTTTTGAGAGAGATATCGCACCATGTACTTGGTATTAAATTGCAGTGTTGCTTTAGTTTCAATCGTGAGTCATTCATTCAGTGTTTTTGTCGAGAAACAAATGCAGTCAGATGAATTGATCATAGCGTGATTTTATTTAAATTATGACTGATGATTTTTTTTCTTTTGTGTTCTATATTTTTTGTACCTGATATACAATTTTTCCAATTTTAGATATTTTTATGTTTGCAGGTGTATTTGTTTTGAATAATAATCATTTCACGGACCTGTACATGTCAAGGAGATTTTGTGCTGTTTATTGTAACAGCATGTAGGGAAAAAAAGTGAATGTGTATGCAATATATATATATATATATATATATATATATATATATATATATATATGTATATCTGTGATTCAGAGTTCTGTCACATGTATAACTTGTTTTTGTGTTAGCTCTTTAAGAGTGATTGTTTGAAAAGCTATAATTCACACATTGTCTTAGTTGCAGCCAAATGTTTAGCACGAAAACTAATTAAACATGCTGTCCCATGTTGTTCCCATGGATTCAATAAAGCAGCTGTAAATTGAGAGAATGTTGTTGTTAGATTTGTCAGCTCCCTCTTTATTGTGACTATTTCTCATAATTGCAAATTTGTCATTTATAATTATAACAACTGGTTCTTAATACAACTTTCTCAAAGTGCTCTTTATATTTGACGATCATGACTTCATATCTTATGATTGCGACAGTATATCTCACAATTGCAATGTTTTTTTGTTTTGTTTTTGCAATATTGAAACTACCTCACAATAAGGACTTTACTTCTCGTTACTGTTCATAAAACTGACTTCGTTTTCTGTTATTGCGACTGTTTATCATAATTCTTACTTCATTTCCTGTTATTGACGATATATCACAATTGCAACATCATTTTGTTCTTGTAACTATCACACAATTGGGAATTTATTTCTCGTTAATGCAACTGTTCATAAAACGGTTTATAAATTCGACTATTTGTCACAATTCTGACTAAATTTTGTTATTGTGTCTATATCTCAATAGCGGCAGTATGTCTCACCATTATGACCTCATTTCCTGTTATTGCTACTATCTCATAATCGGGAATTTATTTCTCGTTACTGTAAGTGTTCATAAAACGGTTAATAAATTTGACTATTTGTCACAATTGCGATAAAATTTTGTTATAGTGACTATTTCTCATAATTGCGACAGTACATCTCACAATTGTGACTTCATTTCCTGTTATTGACTATATATCACAATTGCAAAATCATTTTGTTCTTGCAACTATTGAGAAGTTATTTTAAATGTCTCACAATTACCTTTTACTTGTTTTACTCTGAGGCAGAAATAGTGATAAAAAGGTCAAAATCCTAAATTAGAAATGCTAATCCTCTGTTAACTATGTCAAGCTTTCATAATAGCACTTATAAATCGACAAAGTTTTGCTTATCATCCACCCAGATATTACAACCACTATATCTAGGATTGTGGTTTGAGTTTTAATGCATTTAAAGAGTATATGCCCTTTAGAGTGAGTGTGAGTGTGTGTGTGTGTGTGTGTGTGTGTTGCGGTTTTTGTGTCTGACCTCTGCCCAGTCTGCTAGCAGCTTTCTGCATCCCTAAGCACTTCAATAGAGCTGACTGTGAAAAATCAATTAACACTATATTTAAATTGCTAAATTAATTACAAGCTTGCAGAAAGTTGAATGGGCAATATATAAATTCAAGATTGTTTTATTACGATCATAATTAACGAGGGCAACGTACAATGACTTGAATCATAAAGACATAAATGCAGAGCAAACACATCAAATTACAGCAGCAAATGCTGTATCCTTTATAAAGAAATTGGTAGGTCCTGGATGCGGATTGGTCGATACAGCATTGTAGCTGTGCTAGATTAAACAATATAATTATAGCTATGAAACAAAAACACTTGTTCAAATTTCAATCTGTTTCTAATTTATTGTTAGGCTTCTGGATATTTTATGATATTTTATGGTGTTTTTTTTCTCTTTTGAAGTACTTGATGTAGCCTACCCATTTTTATAAAATAGCGACTAGAATAAAGAAAAAAACAAGTGTATTCTTTGAGAAAGATTATTTTAACTCAGTAGCCTATGTATTTTTAATAATGTTTAAATGGTGTAGGCTAATATTTGTGAATTTGATTATGTAGCCTACCTACTCGTCAAGATTAGGCTACTCTCTCTCTGGTGCTGTGCACTCTCCGCAAGACTCCGCCCACACGCTGTTCCGATTGGCTGTGGGTTTTGATTGATTTTGACGCATCTCGCAGTCGTGTCGCGTCTAGTGTGGACAGACAAATGATTTGTCGCTGGAATCTAATCGCATCGCGTCTGGTTAGGACACGGTGTCAAGTTAAAAAGATACTTTGGCTTATTGTGTTTTTCCTGTCCTAAAATACAGGTGAATCTCACAAAACCTCTCAAGAACATGTCCAGGCCATGTTTTGCTCTGAAATCTAAAGAAAAGCATATATATACCATATATATTCTTTAATATGTTAATATTATGCTGCATCATGATAATTTCCATGACAATTCAACACATTTTCCCTACAAATTATTTTTAAATGCAAATTAGCCCATTATAATAATGTCCAACAATAAAAATGTAAAGAGATCAGGACAAGAAATTCAAATTTGAGGCAAAAATGTCATAATTGCCATGAAAATGAATGTGACGTGGGCATTTCCGTGAGATTCACTCAAAGCCGAACTTCTATATGAGAAAGAATAAAATGGCTGTTCTTTAATGAATAAATGAACTGAGGAGTGACTTAAAGGTGCCTTCTACTGAAATATTAGGTTTTAAGTTTAAAAAAAAAGGCTTTTGATCCGTTTTCTTCATAATCTACTGGAGTCTTTCATGTTGGTGGATTCATCGTGAGGACTTTCTGAGGAGTAAAATTTCTCGAGAAGCAAAAGAGGATGAACCTTCCACTTTTCAGTTTATTTTCACACCCTTAATTCGCTTCTCGTCGACATCAGATCGAAAACTGAAATTCAAGCACAGATGTAAAACAAGTGGCAGAAATGGAAAAGCAAATGAAAGAGTGGGACAGAAAAACCTCAACCAGACAAACAACCAACATTCTTGTTTTCTTTCACACAAGAAAAACAAAAGAACCATCATGATGGTTTTGTTTGTAAAAGGCTCGCACCACTCTTTTTATTCGCTCCTTTTATTAAGCTCGCATTGCTGCCAATGATCAAATGAATGTATCATTCTGATGACATAATTGCCTGTCTCAGGCATCCATTGCAAAATTGGGTTAATTAAACGTTCCAGCAATGCATTACGCATCATAATGGGCAGCCGACACTGAGAGCTTTTTGCGATGAGGCAAGGCCACACAGCGGGAGATGCAGATAAACATTCCAGATGGTTGCCAGGAAACGAGGAAATGCTTCAGGCTGATTGGCTAAAGGGGAAGAGGTCATTGCCTTGTGAAGAAGCTGAATCTAATACTCAGTGAATGTCAAAATAATGTGGACCTGATTAGATTTTAGGTTTAAATGGTGTGCAATACCTAAAGGGACCAGTTTTGTAACTATTTTATTTTTCTCCCCTGTTAGTTAAGGTTTATTGCACAGAGACCATCTCGATTTCATCTCATACGGTTCGCTAGAAACACTCAATCTGAAGACAAACCGCATGGGCTCACTTGATTTTTTTCGTTCGTGAATCCCAATGTAGTTTGGTCATCAGATGCCTCTGTAAAATCAGCTGTTCATCATGGCTGCTTTTTCTGGCAGATTTCTACAAATTATTCATTCAAAACGTACACTTGATACTTTTCCTAAAATGGATCGCTACTTTCGACAAAATGAATCACTACTTTTTCAAAAAAGAATCACTAATTACCTCAAAATGAATCGTTACTTTTTCTAAAATGAATCACTAATTTCCTCAAAATGAATCGTTACTTTTTCTAAACAAAAATGAATAGATACTTTTCAAAAATGAATCGCTACTTTTTCAAAAAAGAATCGATACTTTCCTTAAAAATGAGTCGATACTTTTTCAAAATGAATCGCTACTTTTCTAAAAAAGAATAGAGACTCTCCACAAAATGAATCGTTACTTTTCAAAAGAAGAATCGATACTTTTCCTAAAATGAATTGCTACTTTTCTAAAAAAAGAATCGATACTTTCCTCAAAATGAATAGATACTTTTTCAAAACGAATGCTACTTTTCCTAAAATGAATCACTACTTTTCTAAAAAATGAATCGATACGTTTCAAATAAGAATCAATACTTTTCCTATAAATGAATCGCTACGTTCCTCAAAATGAATCGCTACTGCCTTCCGCAATAAAAAAACTTGATTAAGGAAAACAATTCAAAATAAATGTTTTTTTTTTTTACAAAGGTGGATGTGTGATATAGTGCAATAATATGGATGTAGTATTGCAACAAAATAACTTTTTGTGTAAAAGATAAACAACTTAGAGTTGTAGCAATGTTGTTTTACAAAATAATAATAATTAATAATAATAATAATCCATACAAACAAATATCTTGGTTAGTGAGGCACATAATGTAATATGTAAGTGAATGGGATCAAATATAGGGCCAAAGGATCAGCCATCAAACACTGAACTGGACTAGATCCAAAAAGCAACAGGGGTCTGAGACCACATTCCTAAATGGACCAAATAAGGATCCAAGTCCTCTTTCAGGGATAGGGACAGTGTGAACGTAAAGAGAACTGGGTTTCCCATTCGTCGTCATCCGACGTAACGTCTCTGTTCCCTACTCAGGGAACGAGGGTTACATCCGTAACCAAGACGTAGGCCTACTTGGTTCACCTCTTGGTCCACTGAAAGAAGAGTTTGGTTCTTTTAAAGAGGACTCAAGTGTGAAAACACCCTAACTACTGATATGCTGGGATTATGTGTTTATGGAGTACTGTATATTAAAAAATAGGTTTTAATTTTTTTTTAATCATATTGTAAACCATTTTTTTTATATTATTGATTTAAAAATGTAAAATTATTTATTTATATATAGGCTATGTGTGTGTGTGTGTTTATAATATATTATTAAAATGTAATGATTTATCTGTAATCTTTAATTTAATTTTTTTTTTTAATGTATCTTATTCTTTATTAAACTTTTTAATTGGGAAGAAAATGACGGAATGTGCCTGTAGTAGGCCTAGCATGTTGTTTTAATATGGTAAACTTGCCCCTTTCGACCTTTAAATGGTGTGTTTGCCTCTTAATTTCAAACATAGGAATACAGGAGCTGCAGAAAGCGATTATTGCGGGGGAAATATGATGCAATGATCGCTTTCTGCACTTTTTCTAATGCGCTGTCTCTATGACAACAACCACTACACACAGCTGTCATCAGTAGGCTATATAATGTAGAGGACAAAAGCGCGCGCGCGCGAACACACAGTACACACAAAGCCTGAGGCAGGGGACGAATTTAAATTTCCTTTCTTTGAATTGAATACCCAGCATCCTGTGAGTCATTAACACCCGTTTGTCTCGTAGCAGAAATGAAAGGTGAGTAAACAGCCTC